TCGAGTCCCGCATCAGGCTCCCTACTCAGCAGAAGTCTGCTTCTCCCTCTGATCCTCCTCCCTCTCATGCTGTCTCTCATTCTTTCTCTCTCAAATAAATAAAATCTTTTTAAAAAAAAATTTAAAAAAGTACATTTACATTAAGTCAACAGTATGAAATGCTTAGGATAAATTAACAAAATATGAGCAAAGATTAGACAAGGCTTCTCAACAGCAAAATTAAGACCATAAGAAAATGAAATGTTGGGGGAAGTAACTGTCAATCTACATCAACAAGAGTGAGGGGAAAAATTAAATTTGTTTCTAGAAAAAAGAATTTGGCCCTCATCAAAATGACTTATAAATGCTTCAGAAACTTGGACTTTGGTAAGTCAAGTGTACAAATTAAGCCATTTCAGGATAGCCATTTATTTTATTTTATTTTTAAAGATTTTATTTATTTGACAGAGACAGCCAGAGAAGGAACACAAGCAGGGGGAGTGGGAGAGGGAGAAGCAGGCTTCCCGCAGAGCAGGGAGCCTTATGCACAGCTGGATCCCAGGACCTGGGATCATGACCTGAGCCGAAGGCAGATGCTTAATGACTGAGCCACCCAGGCACCCCAGGATAGCCGTTTAATAAAAGTAGAAATAAAGACAACGCCACCAATCCAGTGGTAAACCGTAAAGAAGAAAAATGCAGAGTAGATAGCATAAAAATATTTGATAGAAATAAATCAAATCATAGGAGTTATCACAATAAATGGACTTAATTTGCTAGGTAAAAGATGACAATTCAGTTTTGACCAAAACCAAAAATCTAGTAATATGCTCATTAATGAAATACATCTAAGACATTAACATAGGAAGGCTTAAAGAAATGGAAAGAAAAATGATATAGTAAAAATACTAATATTAACCATATACAGGAAAATATTAACCATATATAAGTTGCCTTAGCTATATAAGATATTAAAACAGCATTCTGAGGGAAAAAGAATGACTACAACAGTGATAAAAGGAACAGTTCACTAGGAAAATGAAATCAATAAATCCAGAAATTTTGTGGAAGATGTTATACTTTTAAGCAAATGATGAAACAATCAGAAAAAATTGGTAAAGCTATGAAAAATTTGAAAACGTTATACATTACATTCAACAATTAGAGAATTTATATTTTTTTCTAGTACACACTGTTAAACATTTGTAAAATTTGACAACTTACTAGTCACAAAAGATTTAACATATACCAAAGAATCAACACCATACAAATAATCTTTTGATGTATTACAAAAAGAATAGAAGTCAATAACAAAAAATAACAATAGAAATCTCCACTTTGGTATGAAAAAAATGATTTTACATAACTGATAGGTCAAAAAAGAAATCACAAAGTTAAAAAATACTTGAGAGCGCCTTTGAAATCAAAGTTAAGGAGATTCATATATAAAACACACTGAAGAGGTCATGCAGTAAAACTAAGAGGCAAAAATGTGTATGCCTTTAAAAACTTATGTTAATAAGGAAGACTAGGGGCACCTGGCTGGCTCAGTCAGTGGAGCATGCAATTCTTGATCTTAGGGTCAGGACTCAAGAGTTTGAGTCATATATTGGGTGGAGAGATTACTTAAAATTACAATCTTTAAAAAAAGGAAGGCTAGACATCAAGGAGCTAGATAGAAGTTAGAAAATGACAACATAAACCCAAACAATGTGAACAAAGAAAATAATAGAAATTAATAAAGTAGAAAATGAAAAAACTGAGGATCAACAAAAGCTGGTCTTTTGAAAAGATTAACAAAATGGAAAAGATTAACAACTAACAAAATAGATTCAGTACAAAAGAAAGCAGGCACAAATAGGCAATAAAAAAGTGACATAACTAGATAGTACAGAGATTGGAAAAATTTAAGAAATACTGTAACATCATTAAATAAAACAGATAAAGAAATATGCAATTCCTAAGAAAAAGGTAATTTAGCTAAATAGAATCAAGAAGAATTAGAGAATTTATAATCATTTAAAGAACCAAGACAAAAATTTGCCCACAAAACAGGATAAAATAGTTTTAATGGCAAGTTTTACCAAACCTGAATTGGTAACAATTTGTTCCACAGAGCAAAAAGAGAAGGTTCTCAACTAATTTTATGAGGCTAGTATGGCCTTGCTACCAAAAATATATATGGGAAAGGATATAGGCAAATTTTACTTGTGATCATAGGTATAAAAAATCCTAAGCAAAATATTAGCAAACCAATTCCATCTATTTCTTTAAAAACAAATGTGACAAGAAAAAGTACGGGAAAAACTTCATGACATTGGATTTGGCAATGATTTCTTGGGTATAACAATCAAAAGCAAAGATGAGGAAAAATTGATAAACTGGACTTAATCAAAATTAATAACTTTTGTGCATCAAAGGATACTCCAACAATAAAAAGCCAACCCACATAATGGGGGAAAACATTTGCAAATCACATATCTGATAAGGGATTAATATCTAGAACGTTTAAGGAACTCCTAAGATCCAACAACAAAAACAACCCAATTCAAAAACAGGCATAGGACTTGAACAGACATTTTTCTGAAGGTACACAAACGGACAATAAGCATATGAAAAGACGCTTAACATCATTAATCATTAATGTAATGCAAGTCAATATACCACAATGAGATGCCACTTCACACCAATAGGATAGGTATTGTGGAAAAAACGCACAAAAGTATTAGCAAGGATATGGAAAAATTGGAACCCCTATGCATTGCTGGTGGGAATATAAAATGGTGTAGCCACTCTAGAACACAGTATGTTCGTTCATCAAAATATAGAATTACCATATAATCAACAATTCTACTTCTGGGTATATATTTAAAAATTAAAAGCAGGAACTCAAATAGATCTTTGTATTAGCATATAGATAAAAAGTGGAAACAACCCAGATGTCCACTGAGAGATAAACAAAATCTGCTACATATACCCAATGGAATACTACTCAGTATTCTAGCACTTGAATACTTGAAAAAGGAATGAAATTCTGTTAGGTGCAGACATGGATAAGTGAAATAAGCCAGACACAAAAGGACAAGTACTGTACGATTCCATTTATATGAGGTACCTGGAATAGTCAAATTCATAGAGACAGAAAGTAGAATAGTTACTAGGGTATGGGGGGGTGGGTAAATGGGGAGTTACTATTTAATGGGTACAGAATTTCAGTTTGGGATGATGAAAAAGTTCTGCAGATGGATAATGGTGATGGTGATGGACAATGTGAATGTATGTAATGCTACTGAACTATACACTTAAAAATGATCAAAATGTAAGTATTTTACCACTAAACTACAAACTAAAAAATGTGACTATACAGTACCCAGCCTATTGCTTGACAAATAAACCAATAGAAAGAAACTTCAGTGTCAAAGACAGCAGATAGATTAATCAATGAATAGTGCTGGGACAATGGGCTATTCTCCGGAAAATGAAATAAAATCAGATCCCCATTTGACAAAATACCAAACGGTTTAAAGACCCAAGTGAAAAAGAAAAACTACAAATTTTAGAGAAAAACCTTAAGGGAAAAGGTGATAGAGGACATCAATATTTAAAATTCCTGAATATCAAAAAAACATAAGGTAAAAATAAAGTAGAAACAGATAGTTATAGCACATGTAAATAAAGACAAGGAATACTATCTAGGATATATAAAGAGCCCATTCTATTAAGAAAAAGACACGCTAGCTAAAAAGTGGGCAAAGTACACAATAAGCAATTCATAAAAGGAATGAGTGACCAATAAACATTTGAATTCTCATAAGTAATGAACTCAAATGAGATAAAATAAATAATTAAAACAAAGAGAAACCATTTCACATTCATTGCCATAGGTAATTTCAATGTCCAATAATACCAAGTGATAGTGTGTGGGAAAACTGGAACTTACATGTTGCTGACAGGAGAGTTATACACTTCTTGTGTCAGGAAAATTGGTACAACCACTTTAGAGAGTAACTCCCCTTCTAGGTATCAACTCCACGGAAACTTATTCACATGTGTGCAAGAATGTAGAATATTCACCGCAGCACTAACTTGTAATAATGAAAAAAGTGGAAGCAAATTATCTCTCAAAAGAATAAGTCTAGTTTATTTATATAATAAAATACTGTACAACGATGAAAATAATCTACATCTGCCAACACGGATAAATCTCAAAAATAATGGTGAGTTAAAACTTGGTTGCACAAAAATATATACAATATAACATTCACGTAAAATGTTAAAATATAAAACAATTCTTAACAGTGTATGGATAAATGCTACAGCAAGAATACAGAAATATTAAAAATACAATCACCCAATAGAGAGCTTTCTGTGGTGATGGAAATATTCTTTATCTGCATTGACCCCAACATGGTAACCACTAATTAGGGAACTATCCTGAAAGTCCAAGACATAACAACTTGTGATTTTGCTGAGGTATCACTGAACAATGTACACACACTGCCTGGTATTCAGAGCTAGTCACTTACCTAGTCCCTGAGCCTAAGCAACCATTAATTCTTTAATAATGATCTCACATTTTATTTGAAATTTTAAATACAACAGTGGTATAAGGGATTCACGAACAACTTAGGGTATACCCTACTATGCATGCCAAGGATTTATTTTATTCAAATGTTATATAAAGAGTTTCAAAAGATCCTTGGCCTGTCCAAAAATCATTCATTCTAGTATTTTCCACTTAAGGGAAAAATAAAGGCAGCAGAAGCTTATAATTAAAACATCTTAATTTGATTACTCATTTCTAAAATTTTTGTAGAAGATACATTCTGAGTAAAACTAAGAGTTTTAGGCAGTTTAAGAAATAGGGCTTAAGTCCAGTTATTTATATTTAAAAGAAAAAATAAACCAAATTTATTAATGGTATAAAAAAAAGAATCACATTTGAAGTACAGTTTTGAAGAAATTTCCGTGATCTAGAGTTCGGTCAAAGAATATTCCATGGCAACAGTTCAACCCTATTGTGTACTATCTTAGAGATTCTCCCTTGGAGAGATAGAAGGAAGTGTAATAGGATGAATTTAAACAGCATCCAACAAACACTTCACTGTATTTGCTTCATACTTTTTTTTTTAGAACTGCGTCTGGAATCCTTTTTCTGTTTGAAAATCGGAGAATTCAAGAAACACAAATCTGTAAAAGGGTCTCCTCTTCTCAGTTTCCTATAAGGGTAAAAAGAACTCTTAAGCATAATTATAAACATCCCAATACTAATTCACTCTTCAATATAAACTTATTGTAAAATATGCCAGTGCTAATATTCCCACTTCAGTTTTTAATCAAAATTTTATATTTCAACAAGACTCATTCTTGAACAAAGCTCCAAACCTTACTCCCCCCACATGTATCATTAGAGGTGGGGTCCCACAAATCAAATACTTACGAAGCGAGTGTGGGTTCCTTATAGTTCATACTGACTGCGCACCTGCGCTTAGGCAGCAACACTGCTGGGCTTTCTTTCTTTTTTGGAGAAAGAGAAAGTTTTCTGATTTTCACCTCAGGATATAAGGGGACATTGGTGATATCCTTCAGGCTACAATGAGGTGAGCGGTGAGTTTTAGGTAGTGCACCTATAAAAACAACTTTTACTGAATATGGTTCCAAATGAAAGAAAAAAAAAAACCACAGGAACTAAAATTGTGTGCAATTACACATCCTAAACATGTACAAATCCAGCATTTTATAATATATTTTTTTTAAACCATTCATTTTTTCATCCCAGATAACACTGAAATATTACTGTGGATGTGAAGAACTGATACAACAAGTTACTAAAACTTAAAATTCTTTTAAAAAAAATTACAATTCTTTAACGATAACGTGGGCATAATGAATTACTTTCAATTATGGAATTGCATTTTAGTTCCACCTTCCTCTGTAGAATCATCAAGGCCTCCATCTTTTTCAATACCAAAATTTATCAAGTGGCTTCCTACAGTCTTAAGCCACTTAGGGGCGCCAGGGTGGCTCAGTCGTTAAGCGTCTGCCTTCGGCTCAGGTCATGATCCCAGGGTCCTGGGATCGAGTCCCACATCGGGCTCCCTGCTCGGCGGGAAGCCTGCTTCTCCCTCTCCCACTCCCCCTGCTTGTGTTCCCTCTCTCGCTGTCTCTCTCTGTCAAATAAATAAATAAAATCTTAAAAAAAAAAGCCACTTAAACTCACTTTAATAAATGAGAATTCTACACCATAGCCTCTGTGGAGACTAGCAGGAAAGGGGTTCACTCTGGTAAAGCTAATGTGTTAAAAAAGTTACCCAATGTTTTTCCTATCATAGGCATCCAAGTTATTCTACTTTGGAGCTAGATCTGTACTGAGTGACAGGTACTCAGCACACAGAAGGACACTATAAGACAATCTCTTCACACAGCTTTAAAAAGGCAAATTGTTTTTCGTAGTCAAACTATAACTGTAAAATGCCTATATTTAGCAACCAGGGTTATCTAGGTTTCAAATACTGTCTTTTTTTGTCCCCACAGAAGTACACTACAGTGTACTAATTATTCCAACTTTTAGTTTGGAAAATATGGCTAAGCAACATCCGATCAGTTGCTATATTCTGGAACAGTACTTCTCAAAATTTATATATATACAAATTCCCCAGGGAACTTGTTAAAAAGATGCAGATTCTGATTCAAGGGTATGGCCTCAGATTCTGCATTTTTAAGAGGTTTCACGTAATAGTGATGCTGATAATCTGGGGATTAAACTCTGACACTATATTAGAGTGTAATTTTTTTTTTTTAAACTTACTGTGTAAAATTTCAAGGATACACAAATACAGAGAAAACAATAATAATGAAACCCCAGTTACCTAGCTTCAATAATTACCAACATTTTGCCGGTCTTGTTTGATTTTGTAACATTATTATAGCATATTTAAAAAACCACGCATTTGTATACTACCACTGCCTAACTGGTTGACCTTGGAAAGTCATTTAAATTTTTTAGGTTTTAAGTTTCCTTATAAATAATACAAACATGGTAATACCTACACTTCATAGAGTTTTTCTTTTTCTTTTTTTTTTTTTTAAGGTTTTAATTTGACAGAGAGAGAGAGAGAGCACAAGCAGGGGGAGAGGGAGAAGCAGGCTCCGGGCTGAGCAGGGAGTCCACTGCGGGGCTCGATCCCAGGACACTGAGATCGTGACCTGAGCCGAAGGCAGACGCTTAACTGACTGAGACACCAAGGTGCCCCTTCATAGAGTTTTTCTGAGTATCAAATGAAATAGCATGACAATGTTTTAGGAATGCTACAACCTGACCAAACAAATTAGTTTATCCACACTAAATTTTCCAGATGAGAATCTTTGTGGGCAGATGCAGGCTCTATCATCAACTTTTGAACCATGCCTACTTTTGATCTAATAAAAGCAAGATTTTTCTAAGTCACAGTTTTTAGGTGTCTTACAAATGTCTTAGAGAAGAATACTAAGCCTATCAACCGAGGAAAAAGTTTGGTCTAGCCACCTTTCATTACCTAGAATGAATCAATTTATAATCATGGTTCCTGTCAAATTGAATATGAAGCAAAGCCATTAAAATGACAGGTCACTGGATTCAAATTTGATTTCATTTTCAAGGGCCTGTTTCAGGTGAGTGTATAAAAGATATTTTAATTCAACCTAACTCCACCAAAAAGTTTTTCCTTATGTTGGAAGGCTTCATTTACTAAAAATAAAAATGCTTTCTCTGTAAAAAGTAGTATTTATTTTTAAAGAAGATTTAAATTAGCTTAAAGTAGGTCAGAGCCATACAATTGTGATTTACATCCCAGGCCCCCATTGTTTAATCAGAACTTCCCCTAGAGACAGATGGCAAGTCTCTAATCTCCCCCAGAGAAACAGATGGTAAGTATAGCATATAAGCATCAGGAGTGATCATTTATTATAAACATTAAAAATGCAGGCAAACAAGTAGATCACTTACTTATAGGAGTTTTTGTAAGCTTAGAATCCTCCATCTCTTTTTCATCCCTGTATTTTAGTGCTCTCTTAGGTCGAGACCTGGCGACTGGGCTCCTATCTGATTCACTGGAGAGATCTTGACTGTACTTGCAAGTGGGCAAATAGAGGTCATCAGAATCATCTCCTGAACCACTTGATTCATAGACGCTCACTTCAAATTCATTGTTGTTTTCTTCTCTGTTAGAATCATTGCTCATTTTTTGTCGGAAAGGAGTGAGATGAATACCCTCTTCCAAGTTAAAATTGTAAGCATCACTGGAAATGACAGATTCATCCAACTTTTTTTTGGAAACAGTTTTTTTGTTTTCACTTTTGCTCCCTTTATACTTTGATACGGATTTTGATTTTCTCCTTCTGTTAGTTTTTCTTTTCTCTTCTCCTCTTCTTCCTTGTGCACCTCTGTGCTTATTTTCAGTTTGTTCAAATTTATATTCTAAAATGTTTTCTTTTGTTTTAGCAGGTCTTCCTGGGTCAATCAGCTTTGGTGATAAGTTAATTTGATCCTTATTCCATTGACAAACACTTTGTTCTACGTTTTCTGTTATGTGCATGTTTACTAGTGGGTCTACACATCTTTCAGATTCAAAGGGCTGCACTGAGAAATGACTGATTTCAAAATCATCCAAGGTATTGAACTGACATAGATTGTTGAGACGTTTCTTTAAACTCCGACGGACAGATACAGTTCTAGGTAAGACATTATCAGCAGATTTATCTTCATCTGAATCCAAATCAAATCCCAGTCTATCTTGAGAAATAGGTATTTGCTCTGAGAATTTAAAAAATAAATGAGAAAAATAGTTTTACTTTATGAAAACTTTAATTTCAGCAATCTTAGAACTCAAAATTAAAAATGGAATAAATGAAAAGTCATTCTGTAGTTTCTCCACATTGGCTCTAAGTAAATACAAATCTGGGGAACTTAATACTGCCATCTATTTATTTGGCAATGATCAATTGATGGCTTCTATCTGACTTGTGAAAGACTCTTATATAACCTTCGAAAATATTCTAACTGGGGGTTTTCTGTGTCCCCGATTTAAAGGTTTCAAGAAAAACTAGTAGGCTATATGTATCTATGTGTATGGGATTCAGTGGAAAAGAACCTCATATTTTAAAGTAGTACAAGTACACTTGAGAAAGTGGGAGCTAAGGTGTTCTTTGAAAATGAGTAAGATTGGGATAATTGCAAAGTCCTTCAGGTAAGAAATATAATCTGTATTTTTAGGAAAAGTGAGGATATTTGGTTCTACTTATTCAAATGCTATCGCTTCTTCAAAGCTTAGTTCAAGTAGAAAGGATTGATATTTGAGAACAGGGACATGTCAATTTAGAAGTGGAAAGAATGGCATGGCTTTGGAGGTCAGCTTTGAGTTTAAACACTAGCTTTTACCATTTGGGCCACTTCTTCTAAGATACTTTACTTCTTTGAGTCTATATAAAATGGGACCAACTGTACCTACAGTCCAAGGTTGTTGTGAGGGTCAAGTGACAGAGTGTATGTAAAATGGCTAACACAGAGCTTGGCACATGGTAGGGCTCAGTAAATTGCAGCCGTTTATAGCTGATTATAGATTTGGCAAAATAAATGGAAGTATTTTAAAACTGTTATTATTCCGTATAAAATAAACAGATTTGCTTTGAGCAGAAGAATGCCAGATGAGCAAATTAAAAAGTTAAAAAAATACTAGAGAAATTTGTTACTTGTTCACAAAGATCTCATCTTCCCCTTAATAGTATTTTTAGATTTTCGCTTGAATTACCTTCTATTTGGAATGATTCTCCTTGTCCTGGAAGGTGAGCTTCCTGAAGAGGAACTTGTCTAGCCAATGAAAAATAGAAATTTATTTAACAATTTTATAATAAAAACAAATTTAAGATTTTCTTAAGATTAAAATTTTCTCTTTAGTATCATTTCATAATTCTATTTTAAATCAGTGTATCTGTTCAGTTTCAAAGAAAAAAAACCCATTTATGCTGATTATATGGAGGCTGGTTTGTTATGACTGACATTCAACTCCCACTGGAAGAACTACCTTATCAATGAAGACATGCCATAACTCATAATTTCATTTACCTGGAGAAACAGCCAATCAGTATTGACTTATAAAATCTATTATAGAAATGGAATCTGATTACTCTTTATCAGCCTGCTTCATCATTAGCTGAGCTATGATCTTTTTTCTCTTTTCTTGGTAGTTTATGTTTTTATGATGCCTAACTACTGACCCCTCTAAAGTTAATCCTATTTATTTTTAAAAATCTTGTCCCCCTTTGGCTCATGAAACAATTTTCTTTATGCTTTAATACTATGACTGGCTGTTTCACCCTAATTTTATTCTTTATTCCCTATAGAGAATTTTTCCCTCTAGACATTGAAAATTAAATACAGGTTTAGGTAAGTTATGGTAACTAATTAACAATTTCAGGAATCTTATAGAAAGTCAATTACCCCATCTTACTTTTTGACCATTACATAAATATTTTGTCAGATCTTACAGTTCAACTATTTTCAACTATTCGTGATTAAAATTAATATGGGGATAGAAAGCATCTTAGTGATTACTTTTGTGAAGAGAAGGGCATAGACTTGAAAGGGATAGGAGGAGATGGCTTATGGCAATGGTTCTAATTGGGGATAATTATATGGATACGTGGCACTGTCTGGAGACATTTTTGCTTCTCATAACTGGGGGAGGGAAGTGCCACTGACATTTAGTGGTAGAGGCCAAGGATGCTGCTAAATGTCCCACAATGCTTAGGATAACCCTCCACAACAAAGGATGATCTGGCCTAAAATGTCAATAATGCTGAAACTAAGAAAGCCCAGCTAGAGTGACAACAGTGCTCTATATCATAATTGAGATTTTGGTTCCACAGGTGTATACATTAGTCAAACTCATTAAACTGTGTAATTAAGATCTGTGCATTTTACTATATATAATTATATCTCAATAATTCATAAGCAAAGTATACTTGATCTAACAGAAGGGGAGGAGGGTATATGGGGGTCTGACTATATTTAGGAATGAACTGGATTAGCAAGACAGGGTGAAAGCTGTGTTAAACATGATGTTTTATTATATTTCGTTTCTAAACCAGACTATTTGTAGTACTGGCAAAATACCATCATTTGAATAACCAATCCTTAGAATAAAAACATGATATAAGAAAAATATAACTGAAGAAATTCAGTTATATTTAAATAACTAGCTTATTCCTAGACATCAGAAAAGTAAACATAAGAAAGTTTTGGCTTGGCTAAATGTAACAATATCAATGTATCATATTTTTTTAAATACATTTTTAGAAGAGAAAACATCAGACTCCAAACACAAGAATCTGTATTATGCAAATTTTCTTTCGTAAATGCATCACAGAATTAAATCTTTCTTGATATTAGTAATCATAATAATGAAAATTTTTTATTATTTTTATTAAAATATAATATTTGTTTCAGGGGTACAGGTCTGTGATTCATCAGTCTTACACAATTCACAGCGCTCACCATAGCACATACCCTCTCCAATGTCCATCACCCAGCCACCCCTTCCCTCCCACCCCCCAATAATGAAATTTGATACTAACTTCACAAATAAATCCCCAGAGTTGTTGTCACTATTGGAGTCCATTCCAGAGGGACATATTTCCTGGTTCTGTTAATATATTAAAACAAAGAAAACGGTGGTACAATTGAAATATTCATAACAAAGCATTCATTTATTTAACAATAAAAACATGTGCGCGCTCTATATGGTGTCAGGCTCTGTTCTAGAAACTAGATCTATAGCAGCTTAAAAATAGATTTAAGTCCAACCCTCATAAAGCTTAATTCTAGTGTAGGGAGAGAAAAATTTAAAATGAAGGGAAAGAGATATATAAATAATTATTTCAGATATTGATAAAGTATTATGAAGGAAATACTCAGAGTTGAAGTGACAGAGTACTTGAGGTTGGAGGGTTCTCTTAGATAGGGTGACTTTCATCTGAAATCTAAAGAATGCAGAGGAACCAGCCATTGAAAGAGCAGGGAAAGAAAAAGTGGTAGAAACAGCAAATACAAAAGTCATGGTGTAGGAAAAACCTTGCTGTGTTTAGAAAAGAAAGGCCATTGTGGCTGGAGTCATCTATGACCTGTCTCATAGTGAGAACAGTAGGGCATGTGCACACAGAGGCCTCATAATGTGGGGCCTTGGGAGTCCATGAGTTTGGATTTTAGTCTAAGTGTGATGGGAAGTCACGTTAAATGTTAAGCAGGAAAGTAAAATGATCTAAGTTTTAAGAAGATCAGTCTGGCCACTGTGTGAAACATGGATTGAAAGGGGCCAAGAGCAGGAGTTAGGAAGTCATTGTAGTAAATCTAGCAAGACATTCATATTAGCTAGGACTCGAGTCCTATGGCTCAGAGGTAAAGCCCAGTGGAAGGTGTTAAGTGAACAAAGTGTGCTGAGATTGAATAGGGGTGGAGGTGGGGACAGTGAGGGAGAGGGAAGCCTCTTTGGTTTTGACTTGAGCAAATGGATAGGTTGTTTTATGAGATGAGTAAGACTCACAGAGGCAGAAGTATACAGTATCTTTGGGAGAGGGAAAATAAAGAGTTGTACTTTGTACAAAATATGTTTGAGATCCTTTATAAGTATTTAAGTAGATATATCAAAAAGTAGTTGTGTGTGTGTGTTGAGCTATAAATTTGGAAGTCATCAGCAGACAGATAGTATTTAAAGCTGTGGGAGGGGGATAAGATAAGATGGGTCTAGGACAATGGACATTTGAAAGTAAAGAAGAAGCGAGCAAAGGAGGCTGACTTGGAACAGTCAGAAAGGTAGGACAACCAGGAGAGTATGATAGTAAGAAAGCTGAGAGATCAAAGTATGTTGTTTATTACTTCAAGGTCAAGAAGAAAGAGAAGTGGCCACTAAAAATGGGGGTTGTGGGCACCTGGCACAGTGACCATAGAACGATGGGGATAAAAGCCAGGTAAGAGTAAGTTCAAATGTAAATGGAAGCTGAGGAAGTGAAGACAGTACTGTTCTCTCTGCTAAAGTTCTGCTGTGAAGGGAAGCAGAGAAATGAGTAGAGGGATGTGAAACCAGGAGAGGTTTCATTTATTTTCTTTTCCTCTTAAGGGAAGAGATACTAAAGCACATTTGTATGAATGACTCAGCCAAGAGGGAAATACGTGTTGAAAGAGCACAAACTTTTAGGAGCAAAGTCCTAGAGATGAGAAAAAGGGAATCTGATGCACAGGGGAGGTCTCAGCCTTCCATAGGAGCAGAGGCACTTCTGCCACTGTGACAGGAGGAAAGATGAAGAACAGCAAAGACACAGGCAGATTTGTAGATTTGTATCAGGAAGGTGAAGGCTCCAGACAGATTCCTTACAGATCACTCTAATTCAGTTCAGTTGTTTTTTTGAATTTGATGCACATAAAAGATGCTGACATTACGATAGGTTAAAACTGTTCAAGAGAAACAAAACTACTAGAAATTTAATCCTGTTAAAAGTCTTCAATTTATTTTCAGTATAGCTAATGTTCTAAATTTAAGTAGTAGTATTACTGAAGGTAAATAAAGGAGAATATTTAACTACAGAATAATATAATTT